GAAACAAAAATGAATACATTCTATTTGTCAATTTTTGTTTTATAAATATAGTATGATTTCATCTGTTTTACTACATAATTTTACAAAGGTTTGTTCGCAAATTCCTATGCGAGAAAATCGTGATGTGCCTAGAGTGTTAGAAAAGTTTCGATAACATACTTATTATATATACTTTATATATGCTTTTTGGTCGGGTTGTTGTCTCTTTGACACGTTCCCCATTTCCATTTTCAATTTTATTAGAAATAATTTCGAATATGTCTTATTTTGTATAAAAAGATAATATTCATATGCCTGGTAATATAAAGATCTTTAAAGGTAGAAGTGTTATATTTGTATTTTGTTAACCAATTAATTGTGATCGGAGATTTATCAATGCATCGTTGGACACGATAACATGGTTATTTAAACTCACTTACAATACCTTCTAATTAAGAAAAGGCTTTAATTTTGAAAAGAAATTAACACAATAGTTTAAGTTATAGATACAATGGATAAGCGTAGATTCATGAAAAACAAACCATTCGCCCTCCGGGCTCATGGTTTCTTTTTCAAGAATCCACGCTTATCCATTGTATCTATATAACTGAAACTCATTTGGATCCAAGTGTTAACATTGACGATTTGCAGCTTTCCTCATTTTCAAAGAATATAATCCGAAAGGATCGTAACAGTGCCGGCGGAGGCATTGTCATCTATGTAAAGGATGATATATCCGTCGTACGCAAAGGTGAACTCGAAAACCACATTGATGAGACAATATGGGTAGAGATTAAAGGTAAAGGTCAGTCATTTCTTCTTCGTTGTACTTATAGGCCTGAGTGGACGGACAATGACTATTGGACAAGACTTAATTATTCGCTGGGATTGAGTTACCAACTAAGCGAGAATATTGTGATAACAGAAGATTTGAACTCTGATTTATTTTCAATCCATAATAATAAATTATATGATACAATGAATCTTTTTAATTTAGAAAATGTAATAAATAAACCGACAAGGGTGACTGGACACAGTAGCACATTACTAGACCCGATAATAATCAGCGACACAATTAAATATTCTGTTGCCAACGTACTTAAATTACCGTCGGAAATAAGTGATCACGATGCTTCTTTAATATTTTTAGAATGTCCGAGATTTGCATCCAAATCATTCAAAAGAGAAATTTGGTTGTACGATAAAGCAGATTTAAAAAAATTTTCTTCCGGACTTGATTCTGTCAGTTGGGATGCACTTTTTTCTGATGTTGAGGATGTCGACGAGATGTGCAATACATTTACTCAAAAAATCCTTGACATCGCAAGGCAGAGCATCCCAACTCGACATGTTTATATACGAAACAATGACAGACCATGGTTTGACAAGGAGTTAAGGAAAGAAATCCGCAGAAGAGATCGATTTCGTAAAAAAAGCCTTAAAAACTAAAAAAGATTCTGACATTAATAAATATAAAAAGCAGAGGAATAAAGTAAATAATTTGAAAAAAGCTGCAAAAGAAAAATTTGAAAGAAGCTTGGATAATATCATCTTAAATAACGTGGCTAACCCCAAAACTTATTGGAAGATAATGAAAATGCTTATTAAATCCAATAAAGGTTCTGGTGATTTACCACCACTTAATAATATTATTCACGATGAAAGTATGGAAGATGTAGTGTACGGAGACGACGAGAAATGTAATCTGTTGAATAAATATTTTAGTCTAATTTCTTCCCTAGAGGAGGAAGGTGTTCCCATCCCTGAAGTTGAACCAAGAACCTTTATTATTTTAAATGATTTAGTAATTGAAAAATATGAAATAGTTGATATAATTAAAATTTTAGATCCTAATAAGGCATCTGGTTCAGATGTCATAAGTCATAAAATGCTGAAAATGTGTCCTGAAAAAATAGCAATTCCTTTAAAAATAATATTTAATAAATCCCTACAACAATGTAAATATCCCATCAGCTGGAAGACTGCAAATGTAATTGCTTTTTTTTTAAAAAGGGAGATAGTTCGCTACCATCTAACTATAGGCCCATATCGCTTATAAGTTGTGTAGGGAAAATAATGGAGCGAGTTGTTTATAAACATGTCTTCAATCACCTACATAGAAATAAGTTAATATATGAATACCAGTCTGGTTTTCTTCCAAAATGTTCAACAGTTCACCAGCTTTTAGAAATTTACAACTGTATTTTAAATTCACTAGAAAATAAAGAAATTAGCTGTTTCGTTTTCTGTGACTTTTCTAAAGCTTTTGATAAAGTTTGGCATCAAGGATTGCTATATAAAATGAAGTCATACGGTGTGGACGGGAAATTATTGAATTGGTTTAAAAGTTACCTGAACAACAGACAACACCGAGTTGTTATTAAACAATCGTCGTCAGAGCTTTGCAGTATTTCAGCTGGTGTCCCACAGGGTTCTGTTTTGGGACCGCTCTTATTCATTACTTATATTAATGATATTGCTGAAAATTTGATATCTTTATGTAGATTATTTGCAGATGACACATCTCTCAGCTACTCTAGTCGTGACACGTCACAAATAAAATCAGTGATCAGTCACGACCTGAGTGAGCTGAGCGATTGGTCTAAGAAATGGCTGATGTCCTTTAACCCAGAAAAAAAACCAGAAATTATGTTGTTTTCATACATTGAAACTCCGGAAATGAATTTCATATTCAATGGTAAGAATATTAAAGTTACAGATTTTCATAAACACTTGGGTGTTACATTTAGTAGAGATGCTAAATGGAACACTCATGTGGAAAGTATCATAAAAAATGTATCGAAACATTTGAATGTACTTAGAAAACTAAAGTACAGATTAAGTAGAAATAACTTAGAAAAGCTATACTTGACTTTTATAAGACCGTTACTCGAATACGCCTGTGAAGTTTGGGATAATATGGGTGTGGGTTATTGTAACAAATTAGAGCAGCTGCAGCTTGAGGCAGCCAGAATTGTAACAGGTCTTCCTATTTTTACTAGTAGTAGAATTATTTATGATGAGATTGGTTGGGAAACTCTAGCTGAACGAAGAGAAAGGAGGAAGTTACAATTATTTTATAATATTCAACATAATAATGCACCAGCCTATCTTTGCAATTTAATTCCACCAACAATCCAAAGTACAGCTGTTTACCCCTTACGTAATGGGAATGATATAATATACCCTTTTTGTAGACTTTCATTGACACAAGAATCTTTCATACCTTCAACTATACGACTGTGGAATAACCTTAATGTACTGACCCGCAACATTGACTCTTTAGGTACATTCAAAACTGAATTAAAAAATCTTAAACTGAATTCAAAAGCCCAAGTACCCAAACATTATAAATTTGGCAATCGTAAACTCAACATCATTTTGACTCAACTTAGATGCTCAGCCTCGTTTTTGAATTATGATCTAAACAGAGTTAATATATAATTTCAGATCCGTCTTGTAGCTGTGGTGCTAAGCGTGAAGATTAATTTCACTTCTTTTTTGAATGTCCTAATTATACGAATATAAGAATCAAACTATTTAATAATCTGAACTGGTTACCAGAGAACTCTCTATTAAATTTGAACATCTTAACCTCCGGTGATTCGTCATTAACTAATGATGAAAATGAAAGAATTTTAAAGAATGTATATGAGTTTATTAAAGAGTCAAAGAGGTTTCTAATTGTGTAATACAGCACACTAAAGTGCATATACATGTATATTGTGTACAACCATTCACATCATCACACATCATCTTTTACATATCCAATATATCCAATGTATTGTTTGCATGCATGCTTTGTAAAAAATTCTATTGTTATAAATTGTTCATGGGAGAAGACTTCATAAGTTTGATTAACTTGTGTCTCATCCCTTTTGCATATTTAAGCAAATAAAATATGTTTAAACTAAACCTCTTGGTATGTCCTTATAATTATTTGGTTTGAATTTACGAAAATAGTTTATGACGTATCGCGCTGTTTAGAAACAATTTATTTCACATTTTATTTTGTTTTATCACTATTATTTACATTCATTTTGAACGCTTTTATTTTTTATCTACATGTGTATTCAGACATTCAGTGAGATACATTAATGAATCTTAGAATGAACATTTGTAATCATAATCTGTTTATCATATCAGTAGTGTAATAGTTTGAATACACGTCAGGATTCTTAGGCACAAGAACAAAAATGAACTTGGGTTCGAGCTCAAGTACGGAAAATATTTCTCTAATATGCATAGTTGATATGCAAGTGGTATCTAATGATCTATTACCGGCTCAGTATTTACGTAGTCAGTGATATATGATTTATAACACACTTTTCTAAAATTATCTGTTGACAAAAGAAATTATAAAAATCAATGGTGTCAACTCCATGACGCAAAGCTGACCTTTTTTTTTAGGTCCCTTTTTGTCATGTAGCTTCTCATGTATTTGTGTAATTATACATCGATGTATTTGTTTATTTATACATCGATGTATTTGTGTATTTATACATCGATGTATTTGTGTATTTATACATCGATATATTTGTGTATTTATACATCGATACACGTATTTGTGTATTTATACATCGATGTATTTGTGTATTTATACATCATTCGCTGTAACATTTTTGGGTTTATGCGTTCCTGATGAAGGGAGACCCAGAAAAGAGATTCAGACCCTCCAAACTTGAGTGAAAAAATTCAAAAGAAACAGTGGTGAATGTGGAAAGATTGACTAGTTCTTAAACATCACGAATACATGAACTAAAGAGGTAGTACACGGATGTCCTTAAGAGGAAACAGCAAAGTATGCTTTGAGTGTAAGTGAATTTTATGTTAATGTGGATAAATGGCTTTACCTTCCAAAATATTTCTCATGGAGCAAAAAAAAAAAAAAAAAAAAAACTCGTTTCGTTTAATTTAATTAAATCAAAATGTTCAATATCTTTGTCAAGGTAACATCAGATGTGAAGAAGTAACTGTAGTCACATAATAACTGGGTTAAGGACATGAAAACAATACTGGTCTCTATTGAAGTACGACTTTATTTAATATAACAAGAATACAAAAAAGCGTTCAGACTTCATCTGCCGAAACGTTTGGTTTTTGAATTTGCTCATAGCAAATAACAAATGACAAATCGCGAGGACTGACGTCATAAAGTTTTAAAAAATCTTTTAATATCACAGGAAGTTCTAACTTATCAACTGCAGGAAATATTGACGTATCTTTGTTGATGGAGATGATATGATTCCGTATTTTGATTCGAGCAAGGTGTTTTAAGCTTGCAAGACGCCCGGCAATTTGCATGGTTTTGTCTTCTTTTCCAAAGTCAAAAAGGTCTTTAATATATTTATTCTCAATATATCTAATATCTGGTGAGGTAAATTTATAACCAGCAGCTAAAAATGTTCTCAGAAATATTTTGTCCTTGACACAGTAATCTTTCTTTCTGAAATGTTTAAAGTGTTGTCCTAGTTGTTTCATAATATGTCTTAGACTGTAAAGGTTCGGGTCTACTCCATGTTGTAGTAACAGTACGGATGTTGTACAAACAAACCACGGAGGTGGAATCCAAGTTGTTGGAAACTTAACTGTAAAGACTTGGCCTCTTCTGAAAAAACATTAAAATATACGTATGTTTAAACGTAATGTAAAACAAAAATAGAAAGAGAACAAAACAAATAATTAAAAAAATAAAATAAGAAAGACCCGTTTTCGTTTATTACTCATACTTTTACCATGAAAATGAGGAAACAAATGTGCCATTCTCTTAATCATTAATATCTATATGATTGTAGCGGATGATATTGATACAGAAATCCAGGAGTAGCAAATTGTTTAAAGGAGACGGTTATATAAGATTATAAGAAAATAACAACACTATCAGTATGTAGCAGTTTATATGAAACACAACGAGGGTATAGAAATATGGTCACCTGGACTTTCCGTTCGACAGTATGACACATGCATATGTTTAGTGGTGTTCGTTTTGCTGAACAGAATGTATAAATACACAACCACGCCCGGTCGGAATGGGAATCCTATATCCGATGCCCCTTGTTGGGAAGGTGTCTGATGCAAGGCTAACTTGTTGCCCCTTTAAACACACCCTCTTTTTCTAAGGACAATCCACAGCCACTTTCCGTATTGTTTAATGTGTCCTCCTCCTGAATATGCATGAAATATTTGACACTGGAGCTTAAAAAAATAAAAATCAATAACTTCTCATGATCAAGCATGTTTTAACAAATTATATGAATCATGACATCTCCTCCTCTTCGTAAGTCATAACATGGTAATTGTATGATGTAAACTTACCCTAGGAAGAGGCATGGTCCCCATGCTGTTTTATTCAGTTTCACACCAGCATTCAAGTACAATTCAAGAACTTTTAGTAATAACTTTGGGTCAGGTGAACGTTCGTTCAGTCCCCACAATGTGTTGGGATAACGGTACGGTCCAATAATTGCACGTGTGTCAGACGGGGTTTCTATGTTGATATCATGTGGGAGTCCCTGGAATTTGTTTACGTCCACGCCTACAAAAGATTTCTTTTTCTAAAATGTTTTTCATTTTAATTTTTCATTACATAAAGAAGGGCTGTTAAAATTGTGATAATTTTGCAAGTACTATGGTATTATTACGTGAGTATTTCTGTATTGGCCTTGTTATTGGTCCGAGGCTTGCTGTATTGGCCTGAGGCGAAGCCGAAGGCCAATACAGCGGGCCAAGGACCAATAACAAGGCCAATACAGAAATACACGTAATGATACCTTTATTAATTAACTACAGTGTTAACATTGTTTTATATACCACAAGAGATAAACATTTTTTACCTTGAAGTGGAACTATCCAAATCTGAGTTCCCATTTATCATGTTTATAAGCTGCAATATCAAATGATCTGGTGCTGTTTCCAGGCGTCTTCTACATGTTCTCATCTGATGAATTTTTCTACCCTTGCCAGTTACTATAAAGTGTTGCAGTTCATATTTAGACGCAACACATAAATACTAATTGGAAAGGTACTGCCATTGCATGTGTAATGCAGAAAAAAAATTATTTAAAAAAAAATGTAGGAGTTGAATATGATTGAAAATGATACAACGTTCCATAAGGCAACTGACCCAAGATTTGTCACCCTTCCAAAATGCATATGCCTGGTTCGGGTTGAAAAATAAATGACAGTTTACAAAACACGAGAAGCGAAAGTAAACAGTAAAATTATCGGTTGTACCTGAGGTCGACAAGAAATGAACTTTGTGATAAACTACTCGTTGCCCAAACCCGAAATAATTCTATTGCCTGCTTACAAAATGCTTTTCAAATGAATGTGACCGTCTTCAGCTTGAAATATATGCCACACTGAACGTTTCGGCATGTTTATGGTGAGTAAATGAAAACTGCGTCTTCCTAACGACTGTTTACTTTAAGTTTGTGTTTATCATGACTTTCGATCTAAAAACTAGAGACGTTCCGAAATCCTGTATTGGCCGGATCAGAACTCGGCCAATACAGAAAAAAATCAATATTGGCCGAGTTATTCTGTATTGGCCGAGTTGACACTTTTATATTGCATAGGCAGTTTTCATCATATTAAGTCCAATAACAGAGTAGTTAATTAATAATGGTCTTTAATACATTGATACCAAACATATGCGTTCTTTGGACCAATTTAAATATCGTGTGTCAATCACTTATGTAAAATGAAAATCATAGTACCTACCTACATCGATTAGAATTTTTAGTATTTCTGTGTCACAGTTGATAGCAGCACAGTATATTGGTGGTACATTATTGTGGTACTCGAGACCAAATGTTTCTCCATTGGCAGCATGGTTGACGTTTGCTCCATTCTTTACAAGCTTTTTCACAAGCTTTAATTCACCCAATCTATATGGAATAAGAAATGTTCATCTTCACTGTATTTCATACCGTTTTACCAAATTTAAGATTTAGATATGCTGAATGTAACATATTAGACACAAACAATGTTAAAGTGATGCTTTTCATTGGAATTCTATTGTTGGTTCCAAGATCTTGGAACTTTTATTTGCAGATCAGTGAAGGCCTGTGGTATGTCTATTATATCGCATCGACTTAGATAAGCAATGGCTGCAAGTGCAAATAACATAGAAATTATAACCTATAATCTGCATTATGTCTTTGTAACAACTTATATACCCTAGCCACTAAATCAAGCTTTTTTAAAAGCTAACCTTTTAAGATCATTTCTATAATTCACTTTTGTGCAGGCGTTTCTACGTATGACTTTGGAAGTCCTTGAACTGAAATAAGTACTTATGCTGTATTATAAGAAACATTACAACGCTTAGGTTTATAAATGTATGAGCCCATGAATACTATGTATCTTATTTTTACATAACGTTACATGTATATGTTTGTTGATGAATTGTTCTATTAGTAAAAGCAAAATAAAAAAAAAATGAAAAAAAAAGTGATACCAAATGACTGGCTTTTATATATAAGAGACGATTTTGAATTTAAGAAAGTAAAATACCATGCAACTTATCAGAACAAGTTAAATGAATCAACACATTTCCAACTTATTTTTACTGGTTGATTTTATGTTGTGATATTACACCACTGTCCCAGGTTGGGGGATGATTGTGCACTCACATTCATTCGTGTCTGTCCCAAGTCATGTGTCTGTAATTCAGTGGTTGTAATTTGTTGTTGTCTGTCATGTTGGTTTTTAATTATTGTTTTGTCATTAATCCTGTATTTGCTTGAGGATGTTCGCTACTCTGTTTCAAAATAACATGCTTTTTAAGAGACTGTTATAAATTGATAGTATATAAATAACGGAACTAAATAAGTAGAAAAAAATCAAGGGTCCGTGACCTTGTTTTCCAGATATAAGCCACTGAAAAATTGGCGGGAAATGATTCTCTCTAGATTTTTCATTCATTTAACATTGCCATCTTTTTCTTTCAAAAACTTTGAAAAATAACAAGAATTTCATAAGATTTTCAAATATGGCTTTTTAAACTATATGTTATAAAATTATGAAAAGAAAAGAAGTGGTTAGTGGGCAAAATATTTATTTGCTCTACATTGATAAAACCAGAGGATTCCGAATATCTGACAAAATTTCAAAAACAAGAGGAGCGAACAGTCCTTAAATCCGTGTCATGTGTACTCTTTTGAATAGTTGTTTCATTGGCAATTATTCCTCATTTTTTTATTTTTAAATCCGCAAATCTCAAATCAGAATAACAGAAAAGTTTTATGTAAAATAGCAGAATAATAACTTACAGACAAGCTATTGTAAGTGCTGTTAGTTCTATCTGTTTTATCCACACACGATCATTGTGACCAGAACGTTTTATTACCTTTCTTCTGTCATTACAATTATTTGATCTACATCGTCACTGTCAGCTGTGTGAAAAAAAAGAATCAAAGGACTAAAAAATATTTTATCTAAATGGTGTATGTGAATGGAAACAAAAGAAATAACAAATAAAAAATGTAAAAAAACGCACTCAAAACTATCTTAAAGGTTCAAATAAAAACCTAATTGCATATAATTGCATGTACCGAAATTTTAAAAAGAAGATAATACTTAAGGAAAAATAGTTGACATTTTAACAGCTTAAAACCAGGAAAATCAACACTGTTTTCATATTACCGACCTTTGTCTCTCCGGAGTTTATATTGTTTCGACAGCTTACCTACTCTGTGGTAGGACACCCTGTTACTCGGTCGAGTAAGAGCAACGTAAAGAAGTAAAATGAAGCTTTCAATCGGTACAATTTTTCGGGAAAATTAACTGCTTTGTGTTTTCTATACACAAGAAAATTATCTTAAAACAGTAAATTTCCCCCTCAAATTGCACCGATTATATGTTTGATTTCACTTATTTGAATGCTCTTACTTGACCGAGTACCATGATTCCTACCACAGGGTAGGTAACCCGTCGAAAAATTATATAATCCGGATTCAAAAGTCGGCAATATGAAAATAGTCTATTGAGTTGCATCTTCACTTACAATACCAAGCAAAATCGCTGTACTAAACTAAAAAATATGGTAATACATGAAAATATTTGGAAAGGTAACATTTAATTTAACCACACCAATTACAGCAAATGAATATTTTCTACGGCAATAAATACTACATATTTCTTCTCTTACAAATTTCCCATGCCGTCTTTAAAGCTGTATCCTTTCTACACGTCTTTGAAGTATGCTGTTGTACTTTTGAACTATGCTGTCCCAAGTATTTATTTTGTTCATATGATTTAGACCAGAAGCCTGCCATGTCCAGAGAGCGACAATTTTTACCATACTATAGATGTCTTGCAAATTGAATATTCTTTCGCTTATTGTTATCACTGAAATAAAAATAAAAATGATTTGATACAATAGAATTTCTGGTTGTGAAATGTCCCAACATATATCTTCTTCATACTACTTGGCAACATTTAAAGCATAAACCTAATAAGGAAACGTATGACTAAATTTCAAAGGTCTATCAAAATATCACATGAATAATGGTATATTAGTTTAACTTGTTTCTACTGCGGTTAACAGTAGGAAAAGGTTTTCGTTCTTTCTAAAAATCGTTTCAACATATTGTGATATATGAGTGTTTTGTCTCGAAATATTCATTTTCATGTTGTCCTTCTTTTAATTCACGATTTAGTAATTATGAGTAAATTGTCATTTCATAAAGATCTTCTTGATCAGAAAAGGTGCAATTTTTACTTTAGTAAACCAACATATCAATTTATAATATACTACACAAAAAATTATCTGAAAAACTAACAAGGTTTATTAGTTAAAAGTAACTTGATCTGAATAGTCCCTTTGTCAATGAAAGTAAACAATGTGGCAAGGTTAGCAATCCCGAAACCCTTTATTTTCAAACTACTTATGATACCTTTACAACATGACTATAAGTGAACATTTGTAGACTATAATTATTCGATTTTTAACTGGATTGATTGATTGATTTTGGTGTTAAACGCAACTATCAGTAGAATTGGCTATTTTGTGGGGGTCAGCTTTTATTGGTGGAGGGAGCCAGAGAGAACACCGACCTTTAGCAGGAAAACTGACAATCTTGTTAATTAAGATAGGAGTCAAACGCACCTGCAACGTGCAAGGTTCGAACTAACAAAGTTGTACATTTTTAAAGTAAAATGAGATTTTATTAAATAAATACTTACCATCATAAATTCTGAGTACATCCATCTGCGCAAGTCTGACAGGCGAAAAACCCCAAATAAAAATATCATCCAATGAGAAGAGGGATGACCTGTGCCCATATAACCATGCCTTTATATCATCCATTTAATTTCCTGAATTAAGCAAGAAGCTCCAGGAAAAAATCAGGGAATGAAGGGGAGGTTGGGAGGGACCCTAATTAATGATGGTAAGTATTTATTTAATAAAATCTCATTTTACTTTGAAAATGTACAATTTTATTTCAATAAATACGTTACCATCATAAATTCTGAGTATAATATAGAATCTAACGCAAAGCTGAATCCCCTGAACCAGAAGATGCAGGAGGAAAAACAACTCTTTGTGCGGAAACTTAAGGTCCTAAGGAGTACAAACTCTGAGCTTCAGTAGATAAAGACTGCAGATAGTGAGAAATGAAAGAATTTTCAGTTCTCCAGCAACCTGCAGATAAGACTTCCTCTAAAAAAGCGTTATTAAAAAGGGCACAGGAGGTAGAAATAGCTCTAACATCATGGGCTTTAACGTGCATACTATTCAGAAGTTCTTCATTAGAAGAATTGTAAGCTAATTAAATAGTTTTACAGATCCAAGTTGAAATGGTTTTAGCAGACAAATCTTGTTTTCCTTTGTTAATTGGAATAAATAACCTGGGATTTGAGGAGGTGCGAAGACTCCGTGTTCTGTGAAGATACAAAAGTAAGACTCGGATAGGACAGAGTACTTAGAACTTGAATCATCAGGAAGGGCTGGAATCACTATCGGTTCTGAACCTCTGCCTGGAATTTGATTTTTGGCTAAAAAAGCTGTATCCGTTAATAGAATAACAGATGACTTATCCCTATTAAAACGAAGGCAGTAATCAGCAGTGGAAAATGCATGAATTTCACTTCTTCTTCTACCAGAGGCCAAGGCAAGACGAAAACAACACTTATACGATAAAAACTTGATTTCAACCTTTTCAGCAGGTTCAAAAGGATGGGTTTTTAAAGCTGATAAAACTACACTCAAATTCCAAGACGGGATTAAAACTTTCTGTCTAGGGCGTTCAAGAGTGAAATTCTTAACTAAAAGAGAAATGAATTCATTATTACCAAAGTCTGGACCTCCAGACAGTTGAATCGTCCTAGAAATAGCTGATCTATAGCCTTTAATAGTAGAGGGAGATAATCCTTTATCTTCAAACAGGTGGATCAGATAGTCTGCTAGTTGCTGTACAGAAATTTGGAAAGGATCGATTTCCTTCTCACTACACCAACTACTGAAGATTGTCCACTTGGCATCATAGACGATGTTAGTGGAATCTCTAACTGCTCGGGAGAGATGTCTGGCTGCGCATTAAAAAAAACTCTCTCCTTGAAGCTATCCCGGAGAGAAGCCACGCGAACAGACGTAGCTTTTCTGGATTGGGATGAAGAATCTTGCCCTTGAACTGGGACAGAAGGTTGTGTCGTACTGGTAGAACCAGTGGACGAGCACAAGACAGATGAAGAAGATCTGGAAACCAGGCTTGTTTGGGCCAAGCTAGAGCAATAAGAATGATCAACCCTTGCTCTCCTGAGATCTTCCGAAGAACTTCCCTGGGACATGACGAACTACAATTTGCGGTATGAATGGCAAACTGGAAAATGAAAATAAGCGTCCGCCAGATCCAGGGATGTTCTCCACATATCTGGAAGTATAGAAGCTCTGATTGAACGATTGGTCTCCATTTTGAAATGGGTAATAATCAGGTAAGAATTGAGGATAGACAAATCGATGACTGGTCTCATTCCTCTTGTATTCTTCGAAACAAGGAAGAGACGAGAATAGAAACTTGGATCTATTGAAGATACAGGGACTTCCCCCACTGCCCTCTTTGTCAAAAGAGTCTCTACTTCGGTTGACACAAGAAGAAACTTCTGTGGATCTTGAGTATTGGACAGTAGGATAGAAACAGAAGAAAGAGGAGGTTGTTCTCTAAATTGAAGAGTCAATCCCCCTCGAATTACTGACAGTACCCAACAATCTGAGGTAATACTTGTTCATTTTTTTAGAAAATGAGTTAACCCCCTCCTACTGGCAATTGAGAAAGAGGAGTTTTGTAGTACATCTCTGGATTGGGTTCTGACAGTAACGTACGAGGGGGCAACTTTCTAGGAAGAGGGATTGGCCCTCTTGCCCCCTCTCTTAAAACTGTTAGGTTTAGACCTAGGGATTGAAGACTTTTTAGGACCACCTTTATTACCTCCATCATTAGTCACTTTCCTCCTCTTCTCTTGAGAATTATAAGATGAGCCTCCAGCGGAAGAGTAACTACCTCGTTTAGAATTATTTCCAGAAAGAGATACATTCACCTTCACTGGAGCTGGGGTTTGACTGAGATGCTTCTGTACCTCATTAAGTGGCAACCCGAAAATCTTATCATCTAAAGGAGACTTAATTAAAGCATCCTTAAGATTATCCGAAACCTTTGCTTTATCCAAAATTTCAGCTCTTTTGGATAAAGTGCAGTTGGCTATAGAACCCATAATCAACAACTGAGAGGCAACCAAAGCCTTGTCCACCAGTAATAGAAAATGCCTGACCTCTGGTGAAAGAGAAGAGTCTTTAAGTACTGGAGCAACTGCAGTTAAAAAGTGTTCAGCAGTGCCTAAAACATTAGAGGCATTCCTGAGAAGGTTCTCTGTTTTGGACCAAACAGACTGAGAAAGACGCAGTCCATCGGAAGGTTTAGAAACAATCGAAGATGATTAAGCCTTGTCACATTTAGGTACCAATTTACCCAAGGTAGAATCAAAGATATAATAATCTTAAGAACGGAACTGTTCAGTAAATGAGGCAAGACCAAAACCACTCACTTGGGAAAATTGGGATTCATTAGCCACAATCCCATCATTGATGATCTGCAGAGAAGTAGACATATGGTTGGATTTGGATTGTGGAAAACTAGTATGTGACTTAGCGTTGTCTATAGACACACCACATGAAGCCTAGAAAGTAGAGGTAATTCTCTTGGGTCTGGGAGGAGACTGAAATGGTACCTTGTTGACGTCTCTCATAATGGTATAAACCGAATCTCTAAGATTCCTCAAAGTAGAAGGAGTATCTTCAGCCTCAGGATCCTTACTGGAATTGGTAAAAGAACGACCAATTACAGAAGAAGAAGAGATAGACACAA